ATATTTTTAAATTTTTAAGTAATCTCTGTGCCAAACGTGGGGCTCAAACTTACAACCCCCATATGGAGTCACACACTCTACTGACTGAGCCAGCCAGGTGCCCCTGAAATTATTAATGTATTTTGAAGTAGGAGAAATATTTTTGAAAAAAATTGCTAAGATATCTTTTAATTTTCTTATATACTTTTTCTTACGTATTTTTAAAATGTCAAATTTAAACCATCATGCAGTAGTCATTTTCAGAATACCTTTGTTCAGTTTGTGATTTCTAATTGGATTATGTTAAAAATTTTGCAGAGCCGATTAGCTGATATATTCCATTTAAAAGATTGTTGAGATGTGTATACACTGGTACAATCTTGCATGTGTATTTTGGGAATTACTACATATAGGTAGCTGCTTTACATTTTTCTCACATTTCAGTTCCTTTTCCACACTTTGAAGATATACATGACTAGGCAAGGGAGGTTATATGCAGTAAAAAAACACCCTAAAAACCAAAACCCCAAACCTTTGTAATGTGGTAATTTACTTGCTTATAATCTCTTTTGCTCTGTTCTCAAAATATGAGAAGATCCAGGGCAAGAATTCAGTCTTCATCTGTTTTTAAACCATAATTTTTCTTTGGTTGTGATCTCTTTCCCCAGATTTAATTATGAACTGATTTAGCTAGAAATATTAAGTTGGAAGTCCTTATTCAAAATCCTTATGCTTAATTATGCATACTCTTTCCTCCATCTCATAAAATGCCTTTTCTTATTCATGGTTTTATTTATTTCTCAAGTTTCACAGTTCTGATCCTTTCCCTTCTCTCTCTCTCTCTCTCTCTTTTTTCTATTCCTTCTACTATCATTTCCATGCCAGGTAGTTAGTATTTCAAGCCTATGTTGTAAAGTAGCCCTCAGTTTGGTCTCACTGATTTCATTCTCCTCTCCTTCCTTCTCATACAACGTGTAAATGTCTGTTTGTTTCCTTGACCAAAACACCCATCTCGATTTTCTCTTATACAGAAATCTTGACTGGCTTCTCAGTGTTTTTCAGTCAGGTTCAGATTCTGATGAATAGCATGTCTTAATCTTCAGATTTGGCTCCAGTAAATCCTTTTTGCTGAATGTGTCTTCTGTGGCTCTGACACTTTTCCCATTGCCTATATGTTGCTCACGTTTCCACCAACTGGAATTTTCTAGCTTCCTGGCTATGTTCAGGAAGTCTGCTGTTAACTTCTCTGTCTCATAGTGGGCCATTTCCTTTTGGGTGCTGAAAGCATTTATTATCTCATTATTAACTCATTTCTATATAATTATATAGCCTTTTTTTTTTTTTCCATCCTGTGATCTTATTTTTAAAATTCTGTGGACTGTTCGGTTATTTAACTGCATTAGGACAAAAGCTCTGTTCTCCAATCCCTGACCTCTTTGCTCTAGTTATAGGTACATATTAAGAAGGTTTAATATTGTGGTCAGTTTTCTTGGATCTTGCAGAAATACAGGAAACTGGGGACATTTGTAGATGATATGAGGCCTTTGGTGATCTATAGGTTGATCCAGATTTGCCCTAGTTTCTTAGATAATATTGGTCTTACCTTAGAACAGAGTTAATTTTCTGGATTGACTCAGTTTTCTAGAATGTGAGGTAGAGTTGTTCATTTTTATGGCCTTTATTTTGGATTGGCCTTTCATCCATGCAGTGACTCTAAGGAGTGTCAATCTAATCTTTCCAACCCCGGCTCTTTTTCTTTCTCTTCTTCTTTTTTTTTTTTTTTATGAAGTCTTTTGGGAGTTTGTCCCCATGATGTTTATTTTATTGTAAGATTTTATATCGTTAGATTTTTTTTCCATATCTGTGGTTGGAAATCATGTATGGTATTATATTGACATAACAAGACTAGTGGTATATATTTTTAAAAACTTTATTCACAGTATTAGAAAAATAAGACAGTGTCTTTCTTTTAGATTGCAAATACATGGCTGACTTCTTTTTTTTTTCATTTTTTAAATTTAAATTCAATTAGCCAACATATAATTCATCATTAGTTTTTGATGTAATGTTCAATTACTCATTAGTTGCATATATGACCCAGTGCTCATCACATTGTGTACCCTTCTGATTCCAGGCCTTTATGTTCTGTGTAGTCTGCTGATACAAGCTTTTTTTTTCCTTCATGGTATCTTTTTATTTGTTTATTTATTTTTTTAAAAGATTTTATTTATTAGAGAGAGAGAGAGAGAAGGGGAGAGGGGGAGAGGGAGAGAATCTCAAGCAGGCTCCATGCTTAGCGTGGAGTCTGATGTGGGGCTTGATCTCACAATCCTGAGATTATGACCTGAGCTGAAATCAAGAGTTGGATGCTAAACCAACTGGGCAGCCCAGGTGCCCCTTTCATGGTATCTTTTTAAAGATATAATTCATATACCATAAAATTCACTTTTATAGTATACATTTCACTTGTTTTTAGTATATTCATAAAGTTCTGCAGCTGTCACACCATCTACTTTTAGTTCATCTGAATCACTGCAAAAAGAAACACAATACATATTAGCTGTCACTCCCCATTCCCCCTTCTGCAACCCCTGGAAATCACTAATCTACTTTATGGATTTGCCTTTCTCGAAATTTCATATAAATTGGATCATCTGGTATGTGATCTTTTGTGACTGACTTCTTTGATTAGCATTATGTTTTTAAGGTTCATTCATATTTTGCCATGTATCAGTACTTCATTACTTTTTATTGCTGATTAATACTCCATTGTATAGATATACCAAGTTTTACTTACCCATTCATCAGTAGGTGGGCATTTGAGTTGTTCCAGAAATGCTGGCATATGAGTATTATAAGCTGTTGTGAATATATGGGTACAAGTTTTGTGTAGACAATTCATTTCTCTTGGGTATATACCTAGAAGTGGAACTGTCGGGTCAAATGGTAACTTTATGTTTAAGTTTTTGAGGGGTTTCCAGATGTTTTCCAAAGTGGCTGTACCATTTTACATTCCCATCAGCAGTGTGTAAGGGTTCTAATTTCTTTATATCCTTGCCAACACATCTGTCTTTATGATTCTTTTTGATGCTATTTTAAGTGGAATTGTGGGTGTGAAGTAGTAGTTTGTTGTGGTTTTGATTTGCCTTTCCTTGATGAGTAATGATGTTGAGCATCTTTTCATGTGCTTATTGGCCATTTATATACCTTCTTTGGAGAAATGTTCATTCATATCCTTTATCCATTTTAAAATTGTGTTTTTATTTTAGAATTGTGGGAAATTTTTATATATCCTGGATACAAATTTCTTATGGATAAACGATTTACAGTCCCCCTGCCCCCATTCTGTTTTTTTTTTTTTACTTTTATTGTATACTTTAAAACTCAAAAGTTTTAATTTGATGACATCCAAATTCTAGTTTTTTTCTTTGGTTGCTTGTGCTTTTAGTTTCATATCTAGGAAACCACTGTCTAATCCGAGGTCATAAACATTTGCCCTAATGTTTTCTTTGAATGGTTTTATAGTTTTAACTCATATTTAGGTCTTTGATCCGCTTGGAGTTAATTTTTGTATATGGTATGAGATAGAATCCAGCTTTGTTCTCTTGGATTGAATATCCATAGTCCCAGCTCCACTTATAGAAAAGACTACCCTTTGTTTATTGAATTGTTCTGGCATCGTTGTTGAATTGACCATAAATATAACGCTTGTATCTGGACGCTCAGTTCTGTTGCATTGATCTCTATGTCTGTCCTTAGCTATATCACACAGTCTTGATTACTGTAGTTGTGTAGTAAGTTATAAAACTTAGAAGTGTGAACCCTCCGATTATATTTTTCTTTTGAAGATTGTTTTTGTGATTCTGAGTTCCTTGCATTTCCTTATGAACTTTAGGGTTAGTTTGTCAATTTCTGCAAAAAAGGTAGTTAGGATTTGATATAAGATTGTGTTGAAGCTGATCAATTTTGTAGAGTATTGCTGTCTTAAAGATATTAAACCTTGTGATCTATGTACATGACTGTCCTTATATTTATTTAGGTCTTTAATTTTTTCTTAACATGTTTTATAGTTTTCAGTGTATAAATCTTCTACTTCTTTTGTTGAATTTATTCCTAAGTATTTTATTCTTTTTGATGTTATTGTCAGTGGGATTGTTTTCTGAATTTCATCTTCACATTGTTCATTGCTAATATGTAGAAATAACAGTTGATTTTTGTATATTGATCTTATATCTTGAAACCCTGTTGAACTTGTTTATCAGTCCTAATAGTTTTTTAGTGGAGTCCTTAGGAGTTTTTGTATACAAGATCATGTCCTCTTCTACCAAGAGGTAATTTTACTTTTTCTTTTCTAATATAGACGCTCATTATTTCTTTTTCTTTCCTAATTGTTTTGTCCAAAATATCCAGTGTAATGTTGAATAGAAGTGATGAGAGTGAACATTGCTGTATTATCCCTGATCTTAAGGGAAAACATTCAGTTTTTCACCATTAATTACGATGTTCACTCTGGACTTTTTGTAGATATCCTTTATCATATCATATATAGGAAGTTCCCTTCTATTTCTAGTTTGTTGAGTGCTTTTCTCATGAAAGGGTGTTGGATTTTTTTAAATGCTTTTTTTGTGTTTATTAGTATGATCCTGTTTTTCTATTTAGTTTATTTTCTTTATTTTTTTCTTTATTAACATGGTGTATCACATTAAGTTTCACATATTAAAACCAAACGTGCTTCCCTGGGATCCCTCTTGTTCATGGTGTATAAGACTTTTATGTTTTGCTGCATTTGGTTTGCTAGCATTTTCTTGAGGATTTTTGTGACTATAGTCTCAAGATATATTAGCCTGTAGTTTTCTTTCCTCATGATGTCTTTGTCTTGTTTTGGAATCAGGGAAGTACTGGTATCGTGCAAGGAATTGAGAGTGTTCTTTCCTATTCTAGTTTTTGGAACAGTTATAAAGGATTGACATTAAATCTTCTTTAAGACTAACGGTATTTTAATTTTTGTTTTTATCTCTTAGGATTCTCCTTTCACAAATGCAGGAATGGGATCTAATCTAAATCTCTTGGGTGAAATTGAGTGTGATGCCAGCATAATGGATGGAAAATCCTTAAATTTTGGAGCTGTTGGAGCACTGAGTGGTATGTGGACATTACAACACATCTCTATTCTCTAAAGAACTATGAATATTACCATATGATGCCTCCTAAAGACTTAGTCAATCTAGTGTTTTCTACCATTCTTGCTTGGAGTAGTATTGAGAATAACATTGTTTTCTCTTATTGAATTTAAAACATGAAATCTTAGCTTTGAAAAGTTTTAAAGAAAATAGTAAAAAAGCTTATGTTCAAGTCTTTGTTAGAGGTTGATCATTCTCCATCTCCTTGAAATTATAGACATTTAACCTGTGAGTTAGCATATTCTATTAATTTTATGATTATTTGAAATACACAAATAATATATTTTTTTTGTTAGAAAATTCAAATGATGTAAATAAAATTTGCTGTTGCTCTTCCAAATCTTTCCTTCTCATCCCTTTCTCCTTGGAGGGGTTTAACCAGTAAAATACAGTGCATTTATCTATATTTTTATGTAACAGAAACACAGTTTCACACATGTATTTTTTTAAAAAATATATGTACATATTATTATGAAACTTTTTTTCTTTAAATAGGATGTTTTAGAGATTTTTCCCACATCAGTACATATAAGATATATCTAATATTTTACAAATACACATGAAATGCACATATTTTAATTATAAAGCTGCATGAATTTTTAAATGTATACAGCTATGTAAACCATTACCCAGGTCAAGCTATAAAACATTTCCGTGTCAAAATACAGAACATTTCCAGGGTGCCTGGGTGGCTCCGTTGGTTGAGCATCAGACTCTTGATTTCAGCTCAGGTTATCTCAGGGTCCTAGGATCTAGCCCCGCGTTGGGTTCCTCGCTCCGCACTAGCATGGAGTCTGCTTGTTCCTCTTCCTCCCCAGTTTGTGCATGCTCTCTCTCTAAAATAAATAAATAAAATCTTAAAAAAATACAGAACATTTCCATAATCCCAGAAGAGTTCTTTATGCCTCTTCCTAGTCCATACCTCTTACACTCTGCTTCTGCCTTCCCTCCTCCTCCTGTTCTCCCTTAATTTTGACTTTAGGTACCATAGATTAATTTGCTTATTCCTGAAATTTATATGAGTGGAATCATACACCTCTGTGTCTGGTTTTTTTTTTTTTTTTTGCTTAATACTATGCCTGTGAGATTGACCCATGTTTTGTGTCACAGTAATTTTTTCTTTTTATTACGTAGTAGTATTTTATTGCATGAATATATAATATATAATAAATTATCTGTTCTCCTTTAGAGGATATTTGAATAGTTTCTAGTTTTTGACTACTCCAGTGAATATTCTTGTACATGTCTTTGATAGACATATGTACTTAATTCTCTTGGTTATAAACCTAAGATTTGGAATGATAGGTTTATCATTAAGATCCTATCCTTAAGATCAGGGATAATATAGCAGTGTTCACTCTCATCACTTCTGTTCAACATTATACTAGATGATAAGTTTAGGTACATAATGTGCTTTGCTTTAGTTGATACTGCTGGACAGTTTTCAAAAGTAGTTGTTAACAATCTATACTCCCACCAGCAGTGTATGAGCATTTTAATTACTCTACATCAGGGCCAACATTTGGTATTGCTATTCTTTTTAAAATTCATCCATTTTGGGGTGCCTGGGTGGCTCAGTTGGTTAAGCATCTGCCTTTGGCTCAAATCATGATCCCAGGATCCTGGCATCGAGCCCCACATTGGACTCCCTGCTTGGTGGGGAGCCTGCTTCTCCCTTCCCTCTGCCGCCACTCCCCCTGCTTGTGCTCTCTCTCTCTCTTATAAATGAATAAAATCTTTAAAAAAAATGAAATTCATCTGTTTTGGTATGTGTGCAGTGGCATTATTGTTTTAATTTGAGTTTCTCTGGTGACTAATGATACTGAGAACCTTTTGATATACCTATTGGCCATTTAGATATTCTTGTTGTGCAGTGTATGTTCAAAAGTCTTTTGCATATTTTTTATTGGATTATCTTTTTTCATTGATTTGTTCAAATACTTTATATATTTTAGATACAGATCCTTTGTCAGATACTGTATTATGTATATCTCCTCCTAGTCTGTGGATCACCTTTTCACTCTTTTAATGCCGTCTTCTGATGAACTGAAGTTTTTAACTCTATGTAGTTTAAATTACCAACCTTTTATTTTATGGTTATTTTTTAAATATTTTATTTAAGAAATCTTTGTCTACCCAAAGTTATGAAGATTGTCTCCATTGTTTTCTTTTAATAGTTCTGGGTTTTTTTTTGTTTTTGTTTTTTTTTTTTAAAGTAAGCTTTACACCCAATGTGGGGCTTGAACTCATGACCTGGAGATCAAGAGTCATATGCTCTCCTGACTGAGCCCACCAGGCATCCCTAATAGGTTTTTTGTTTTTGTTTTTGTTTAGTTCTGTTGTTTTTTACCCTTCACATTTAGCTCTGTTATCAAGCTCAGATTAATTTTAGTGTATGTGAGATAGGAGCTGACATTACTTTTTTTTCTCTTACGGATATCCAAATGGTTCATTGCCATTGTCAATAGAAAGGACAGTGTTCTCCTCACATAACTGTGTTGGCAAATCAGGTGACTGACTATACGTGCAATGGCTTGTTTCTGTATCCTCTATTCTATTCCATTGTCCTATTTATTGCCAGTGCCATACTGCTTGATTACTGTAGTTTATATTCTTTATATCTGCTGATATGTATGTATATTCTTGATGCCTGGTAGTATAAGATTTTTAACTTCCTTTTTTTTTTTTCTTTAAGATTATATTGGCTATTCTAGGTGTTTGGCCATTTTCATAAAATTTTTGAGTCAGCTTGTCAATGTCCATAATAAAACCCTGCTGGGATTTTGGTTGGTATTGCATTGAATATATAGAATCATTTGTGGACAATTGATGTCTTAACAATATTGAATATTCCAGCCCACAAACATAGAATATGTATATTTACGTAAACATTACTCTTTCTTTTCTCAGCATTGTTTTATGGTTTTCAGTATAAATGTCATGTATATCTTTTATTAGATTTATTCTAGATACTTAGTTTTTTGATGTTATTATAAAGTATATATGTTTAAAATGTCAATATCTAATTGTTTTATTAAATTTAAAAATATAATTGAATTTTGTATATTGGCCTTGAATTCACTAGCCTTGGTGAAGTTATTCCATCACTTATTCTAGCATTTAAAAAAAATAGGTTCCCGGGTGCCTGGGTGGCTCAGATGGTTAAGCGTCTGCCTTCAGCTCAGGTCATGATCCCAGAGTCCTGGGATCGTTAAAAAAAATAGGTTCCCGGGTGCCTGGGTGGCTCAGATGGTTAAGCGTCTGCCTTCAGCTCAGGTCATGATCCCAGAGTCCTGGGATCGAGTCCCGCATCAGGCTCCCTGCTCCTTGGGAGCCTGCTTCTCCCTCTGCCTCTCTCTCTCTCTCTCTGTCTGTCTCTCATGAATAAATAAATAAAATCTTAAAAAAAAAAAATTTGCTTTAAAAAAAAATAGGTTCCCATGGAATTTCTATATACACAATTATATTACCTATGACTCATGCAACTTTGCTTTGTCCTTTCCAATCTGTAAACTTTTCATTTGGCCTTGACATTCAGTGCAATGTTGAATATAAGTGGTGTTAGTGTACATCCTTGCTTTGTTCCTGATCTTAGAAGGAGAGCATTGAATATTTCACCATTCTCTATGCTCTGCTAGCTTTTGGACTGTCATAGATACACTTTATCAGATTGAGGAAGTTCCCTTCTAATCTTAGTTTGCTGATAGTTTTTATTATAAATGGGTATATTGAATTATCATTAAGTGCTTTTCTGTGTCTGTTGAGATGAAGATTTTTCTCCTTTATTTTGTTAAATATGATGAAATTTGTGATTGATTTTTGAATGTTCCCTTCTTGGCATAAAGTCTTCTCGGTCATATTTTTATCTTTTTATATTCTGCTGGATTCAAGTTGTTGATGTTTAAGATTTTGACATCTATGTTCATGTAATAGATTGGCCTTGATTTATCTTTCTTGTAATATTATTTTCAGGTTTTGGAATCATGTTATGGCTGACCTCACAAAATGAATTGGGGATTATTTTTCCTCTTTGAAAGAATTTCCATGTGATTGGAATGATTTCTTCTGAGAATTCATTAGTTATTCTAAATTAGTGGAGTTTTCTTTGTGGGAAGTTTAAAAAAATGGATTCAATTTCTTTAACAATTATAAGATTATATTTTCCTCTCATGTGTGTTTGTAAAGGAATTTGTCTTTTTCATAGGAGTTGTCAAATTTATTTACCTAAGGACTTTTTAGTTAGCTTTTTTTTTTTTGATTTCTAGTTTAATTTCACTGTGGTTAGAGAACATCCTCTATACGATTCCAGTCCCTTGAAGCTTTTTGAAACTTGCTTTATAGCCCAGTTTATGCTATGTTTGTTAAGCATTCCATGTGAACTTTAAAAGAGTATATATTTTGTAGCTGTTGGGTGCATGTTATATATGTGCCAGTTTGGTCAGTTTGGTTATTCACTTGTTCCAGTCTTCTTTATCCTTTCTGGTTTCTGTGATAGGTAAGAAATAGTATATCAATTAGTTTTAATTTTAATTTTAATTTCTTTCATTATGAAATTTTATTGGTAATGAAATTTCATATGTTTAAAGGCCATTAGCATTTCTCTGTTCCATATCTCTTGTGGCTTGCCTTTTAACTTTAATTACAATGTGCTTTATTATATTAGAATTTAAAATTTTTGTCAAACTTACTGTTCTTTTGTGGCTTTTGTATTTTGCATTTCCTAAGGTTTCTCTCATAATTATAAGTATAGTCACCTATATTTTCTTCTAATACACTTATAATTTATTTTTCATTTACTTCTTTAATGCATTTTTCTCCTGAAATAACCAACAAATTGCAAATTGTCCCTACATAATCTTGAATAACCCAATAATAATAACTATTGTTCATTGGGTGACTGTTACATACCATGCATTGTTCTCCAGTAGTTTATATATATTCAGTCATTTAGTTCTCACAGTT